GCGCCATTGCCTTCCCTACGTGCTAGCCGGGCACAAACAGATACTAACATACACACGACCCAAACCTCGCAAGGCGATTGGCTAATTGTTCTAGGCTGCCATGGAAATCGCCATCTTGGTCCATTTAAATCTTCGAAGCCTCCAGGGGGTTGTTCTAAACCAGTCGCGCCAAGATCACCATGGAGCATCATCGTACTGGAAGCGTTCCCCACCAATTTAAGAGTCTTTGGCACTTCGTATGCGATCAACTTATTAATCATGCATATCTCCATGGATCTCTTACTATTTTATTGTTCATCTGGCGTATTTCAAGACAGTAAACTTATTTTTCAGTGCCTCCAAGCACCGGCCCAGCATGTGGTGGTGGTACAAATATGTGCGCTTGTTTCGCCGGTGTGTGGATAGCAAACTCTCGGTATACAATAAACGCCTCCATAAAGCTACCCGTCACCAGCGAATTTAGATAGGCTCACCAAGAACGAAGTGGTCAAGGAGAAATTGCTCATTTCACGGACCAAGATGGCGACCACACGGGCAGCTTGGCGTTACTTTCCCAGGATCCATTGACTTTAGCGCACACCAGCTCGGAGCACTGTGAGCGAAAGCTCGCGCTGCAGAACCCACCCCGCCTCTGCCCGTTTCGATCTGGAAGAGCATCGTACCGGCGTGCGGTCGTGCATCACTACTGCGTGGCGCACGTTGAAGACCCCCAGGTTTTCGGTTTTACCGCACTGGCTAAATTGCTCATCTACAGCTGAGACACCAGACGCCCACTAAGGCAGACTAACTTACGGCTGAATAAACATACAAACAACAATTTGCAATTAGACGCATAATAACAAAAAACACAGTGTGCCGCCTCTTTTCTTTGGATGCCTTTTTTTCTAAACCAGCGCAAGCTCGTGCGTTCTCTCTTTTGAGACGGTTAGAACGGTCGCACATAAAACCCGCGTTTCTCCTACCCGCCCGCGTCCTCCTCTCATTATGTGTATTTGGTTATAACTAAATAAGCTATAATAATGGTGTATTATTCATATTTACTTTCAGTTTCAATCAGGGAAAAGGAGTTTCGCGGCAACTACAGCCAATAAATGAGCTGCGCTTAGAGTATCGGCACTCTCTTCCCCGACAGTGTTGTGAACGCCGCCATTTTGGTGCTTGTGCAGAGCAGGCGCAACTGCCGATCGTCATGATTCAAAAGTGCGACTCGTCAGCATTAGATTCGGTGTTAGGAAGCTCATGTAATGTTGCTTTGCTTTGTCGCAAACTGTTTAAAGTGGGGGACGGAAAAGCGTTTCTTGTGATTTCAGATAAAGCTTCAAATAACTGGCAACCATAATTTTAAGCCATACTAAGGCCAAGCGTGGCTACTCTGAAGCGTAGCTTATTTAATAACACTATTCATGCTCTTGTTCAAGACGCTTGTAATACCTAGGGTGCCTCAATGTCCTTCTGTTTAGGGTGATGCCACCCTCTGTAGTACCCGATGCCGACAGCACGCGCTCACGGGGAAAATACAAAAAAATCGACGAAAACAAAATGTCGCCATAGCACAATCAGCACCACGAGCGCGTGCAGGGACACGCTCTTTCACGCGCTTCTGATCAAAAAATAAAAATAAAAGAGGGGGACAAAATGGCCAGATGTCGTGCTCCACCCTAAGCAAAGGGCACATGAAGTGCTCCACCTAGTAATACCTGGAGGGGCCATATCGTAAGCCCCGTGGATTCCACAAGCCACTACCTTTTGACACCTGCCTCTTCTTCATTGTTCCCGCTTGTGCCAGTAAATTAGCTACGGTTCAGAGTAACGACACTTGGCCATATTGTGGCTTAAAATCATGGTTGCCAGTTATATGAAGCTTTATCTAAAATCACAGGAAACGCTTTTCCCTCCCTCACAAATGTTTAAACAACCCGCGACAGAGCATTGTAATATTGCATCAGCTTCCTGGCACCGCATCTAATGCGGTGGAAGTCGTACTTTTAGATCACGATGATCGGCAGTTGCGTTTGCTCTGAGCAAGACCCGAAATGGCGGCGCCCAAAACAATTTTGGGGAACGGAGTGCCGATACTTTAAAGCTCATTTAGTGACTCTAGGCATAAAGTGAACTCGGGTGTATTCTTTTCCTCTTCGTCTTCATTGTTTATTGATTTCAATCATATCGAATAATGAACACATTATATCACGCTACGCTTCTGTAAATATTGGTCTTCGATTTATTAGCCTGACCCAGTACTTAAACCATTCAGTTATCGATAGTAAATCTTCCAATATATTTTTTAAATGTGAGGGTAAAAAGACACGGAGATTGATGATGATACAGACGCCAACGCCGCCCTCGGAAATTTTTTGAACATTAGAAATCAGCAGTTTGTCTGCCATCCGCCAGGTAGCGCAACAAAACACCCAAACAGTTTTTAATTGTTTTTAAAATTAGTTAAGCTCTACACCTATTAAGAAACCAAAGCAATATCATTGTGAAAATTTAATACATCGCAATGTATATCTATTCCAAACTATAAATGTTATTAAATGCCAATAAATCTGTTTGATGTGCAAAACAGATATGCGTCAAAAACAGGTAAGTTTGAAGGGCTCCTGGAGCGTTATGACTTTGAAAATGAAAAAAAGCCATCGTCCACCTCTTGGGCAACCATTGTAGCTCTAAATTTTATAAAAGATATTATCATAGTTTAATTATTTCTTCAGCGGCATTTGAACTACCATGACACGAAGCACAAAAAAGTGCTACGTTTGATATAAAATATCTAAACAAAAAAAATTTACACAACATTAAATTTTTTTCTGCATATTACCAATTATAAGCACTACATCTGTAGCCAATTTCATTGCCCTAGCTCTTGTCATTAAAAACATATTTGTGCGGAAAAATGTCAATTTTAGGGCAATATTTGGAGGGAGGAAAAAAACAAAGTAGTGCAAATATCAAAAAAGTGGATCGTTAGATTCTGCTCCGACATCATCTTAACAAAACTGCTATATTGGAACCGTGCTATCTTTAATGGATCGTTCATAAAACATGAACTAGCCGAGCAAGTGAGGGTCCGCGCCATCATATTCGCAACGCTACAAATGCGCATGAACAGTAAAAACCAACACATACATAATATCAAATGAAAGAGGATTGCATTGCCTTTCAAATGACATCAATCCCAAAAAGCAGTATTTAAAAGGAGATGAGTAATGGCCTGCCGAAAAGTACCTAAATTGCCACATTCAGTGGGACCGTGGCCTTAAGGGTCGTTTTTACCGAGATTGGACGCTTCAATTTCACGCTTTAAGTGTCGTTTTCAATATTGTGACGTCGCGGTCTGCTGATTGCTCGACGCTGTGTCGTCCTTTTAGTTTACGCTCCAACCGCGGGTGCAGTATTCGGCGCTGGTGGCGGCCTTTGCTCCTCCGCCCATTGGCCATAAACTCTCCCAATATACGGCTCTGCACAGCAGCAGGGCGCCGGTAAAAGGAACACGGGGGCACGCGTTCGGCTACATCTGCTCCTCTCGACGCCGACGAACATGGCTGCGCCCTCAGCATCTACATCGTCGGCGGCCACAACCTCGGCAGTAGTGAAACCTGCCCATCCTTGCAAGTACACCACAGACACTGGAAGCGGATCCGCGTTCGCAAAGCGGTTGCGAACGCGGTTGTATAAAGATCCAGTACAATCGCACTCGCACTCGATGACATCAAGTGCGCGTGCAATTCTACGCCGCTTTGGGAACGCGGATCCGCTTCCGCAGGCAGCGAAATCCACCATCGTTGTCAAGTCTCAGAAGACACGAGGGGCGAAACGAGCAGTGGCGGAACGCGCTAGGAAACAGAAAAAGCATTTCGAAAGCGTGAGGCCCAAGCGGGTCGCGATTTAAAGCGTCTCAGGCGGGAAGAGGACGAGGCCCTTCGACAACGCTAGGCGGAAGCAATACGCGGGCGGCTTGCTTTAGCATTCACAACTCACAAGAAGTGTTTGGGTGTCCTCGAACTTTTTTTTTTTTATTGATTTTTAGAAAAAAAAATTAAAATCAAAACACATCAGCTTTCTTTTTTTTTTTTTTTTCCACTCTGCAGCAATACAGAGGGAGGGACTGTGGGGGTAAAACAAGCTGCCTTTAGACAGCTTGGCAACTCCACGGCTTTAGGTTCGACATTAGCTAATCCGAAGGAGGCATCCACACAGAATCCTATAGCATCAGATATTGTAGGAAAGGGCATGCTTAGGGCTGAAGCGGACTTTATAATGATCGCAGCCCCTGCTCCAGCACGTCGTAGAAGCCAGAGATCCCACAAGCGCAGCCATCGCGCATGCATTGGTCATGCGGCTTCAAGCGCATTCTGATAAGTGCTTTGGTACTTTAGATGTTTTTCTAATTTTTCGATCTGCTACTGATTTAGGTGTTTCAACTAATTTCCTTGGCTCTTTCACGATCGAAGACAGCACCTGTACATTTCAGAAATTAGTTCTTAGTCCCTTTTTGCGCTCAGGGGTGTATGCTTAAACAAGAGACGCTTGGCAACATTGTACGACAAACAGCGAACGTCCTGGCCGGAGAAAAGACCGCCTCACCTCGGCGCGCGGTTCGAGGTTAAGCCGGAATCCCACCTGCGAAGGTCTATAGATACCGTCGGTTTCTTTGGTGTCGTCAATAAAAGGCTTGCGTGACGTCCTAGCACCGTGCCCGTGGTCATTTCTACTTGTTCTTACGGAGAACAACAAATTCGGAGGTGCATAATGTACGTGGGAAAAGGTAGGCACTCAGAATCAAAGCCACTGTAATGGCCGATGGTGTGACGTCATTGAAAAAAAAAAAAAACCGGCAAGAGCAGTGAACAGGACACCTGCATTTTACGCTGATGCTTTGATTGGATGACAAGAGGTACGTCACCTATCTTTGCACAATGCGCCTGTTGATCCAATTATACGACTCAATGATAGGTGCGTCTTGGAAAAACAAAACAAAACACGCTTTATTTTTACTTTTACAGCACGGGGTCGTCAATGACAATGCGTGTTTCAGGGTGGCCAGCACTGGTTTCCTGTCCGGCATTCCCGCAGTTCGTCTCGCAGTCTGCGATGGTAGGGAACTTCTGACAGTTGTGAGGTCCAGTCTCCGACGGGATGTTCTCGCACTGCCCAGATGTCGCGTTGTACTGGGCTGTGGAAGTCACGATGTGGTTGGGGTCATTTTCACCCGGATTGGTGCAAGCTGTGGGGGAGCAAATTGAATGACAGAAAAGGTTATTTTCATGGCATTTACTCAAAATAAAGAACGCACACATACACTGCTATACTCCGTTTGGCCAAGGCCGACAGCATGCAACCGAGGTTACGACTCGTTGGAGCGAATCGAGCAACGCCAAAAGTGCCTCGTCATGGCGCTATCACCGGCTATAGGCAACACCACCTAGACAGAAGGCCTCCGCATGGTCTCCTCTTTCTCTATGAAACGTCATCAGAGTCGGATCGCGCTAACTCGGCTATTGGGCCCGAGCCCGACCTTCAACGCGCTGATTGGCCACGAGCCGCAGCCGAACACTGACGCAGCACTCGTGCCCAATCTCTCGCCTCGATCGATCTGACTATGATGACGCGTGTGGAGGCCTTCTGTCCAGGTGGTGTTGCTATAGGCAACCTGCAATGCTGTTTGGTTTGGCGCCATCTGGCGACTGAAGCAAGAAATATTGGGTACCCCAGGGAGTGGCGGCTGCATTGTTCAAACGTGAGCTTTTACTCTGGTGGCGCTGCTTAGCCTGGTGTCTAAAGCAAGAAATACTGGGTATCCCAGGACGCCGTGATCGCGTAACATGCCAGTATACAGCGGAAGCTACTGCCCTGGCGGGCCAATGGGAACGTGACTGCGTATCACCTAATCCGAAGAAGCATCAGGCTTTTCGCTGCGTCACGCTCCAATATTTGTGCGTTGCGCTCGTATACGTCGCGCATTTCAAAGCCTTCGGCACGCAATGTCGGGCTTATCGTTCACACTTTGCCAATTAAGCTACAACGAGACAGGGTTAACCGTGGGGTCTCCCTCTGCCGGCGCCGCCTGGCCATTGCCGGCTGCCTATAAACCTGCCACGCAAAGTAAATTCCCCGTAGACGGATAAATGGATGGATGTTAATGGCTACACCCTTTGTAACAGGTGGTAGCTTGAGCCAACTAGCCTAAGTCTGAAAAGACAAACGGACCGGCGCTTCTCCTTTCTTTCTTCCTCTGCGTGATTGGTTTTACCGGTAAAACACGCAAAAACGACGAGCACCTTGAGGATGCGCTTTTGGTGCGACTTGAGTGGCTCCATTAGATTTGTTTGATCGATAAAAAGGAACGAAATTGTAGCGAAAACGTTATTTTGGCGTTCACTACAATTATATTTATTGCACGCTGTATTAACGTGAAGGTAAAATCCTATTGTAAGCAGGTTTAGATTGGAGTTATAGGTTGTTCCGATTATGCAATATTTCACTTAGCGGTCGTGGCAGTAACGCGCCTGCATAAGGATACACGTCAGTTGAAAGTGGAGGAACGAACTGATCTATAAAAAAATATAAAAAAAGACACCTAAGCACTTCTTATGAGTTGTGAATGAGAAAGCATGTCGTTCTTCCGCACTCTCAACCACCGCACGTTTCGCTAGTGCGGTGGTTGCGGCCGATGGCCGAGCGCGCCCTCTCGTGCAAGTGGCCGCGCGGCGCATAGCTCGGCCGTGCAGCCTCTCCGGAGTCTGCCCGTGCGGGCTCTGCCAACACCACCTAGACAGAAGGCCTCCGCACGCGGCATCGCAGTCGGATCGATCGAGGTGTGAGATTGGGTACGAGTGCTGTGTCAGTGTTCGGCTGGGGCTCGTGTCCAATCAGCGCGTCGAAGGTCAGGCTCGGGCGCAATAGCCGAGTTAGCGCGATCCGACTCTGATCACGTTTCATAGAGGGAGAGGAGACCATGCGGAGGCCTTCTGTCTAGGTGGTGTTGCTCTGACCAAGGGGCTCTGGCCAAGGAACTCTGACCAAGGAACCCTGACCGAGGGACTCTGACCAACACTATACATATACCTATAGGCTTCCGCACGCGTCATCACAGTCGGATCGATTGAGGTGTGAGATTGGGTACGAGTGCTGCGTCAGTGTTCGGCTGGGACTCGTGTCCAATCAGCGTGTCGAAGGTCAGGCTCGGGCGCAATAGCCGAGTTAGCGCGATCCGACTCTGATGACGTTTCATAGAGGGAGAGGAGACCATGCGGAGGCCTATTCTGTCTAGGTGGTGTTGCTCTGACCAAGGGACTCTGGCCAAGGAACTCTGACCAAGGAACCCTGACCGAGGGACTCTGACCAACACTACCTATACAGAAGGCTTCCGCACGCGTCATCACAGTCGGATCGATCGAGGTGTAAGATTGGGTACGAGTACTGTGTCAGTGTTCGGCTGGGGCTCGTGTCCAATCAGCACGTCGAAGGTCAGGCTTGGGCCCAATAGCCGAGTTAGCGCGATCCGACTCTGATGACGTTTCATAGAGGGAGAGGAGAGCATACGGAGGCCTTCTGTCTAGGTGGTGTTGGCTCTGCTGGCTCTGCGGCCAGCGGCTCCCTCTGACCGGCGGCCGCGCCACCGTACCGCCATGGTGAGGGCTTCTCTGGTGGCGGTCCTTGGAACTGCGCCGCGCGGCTGCCAATGGGAGCCTATCCATCAGAGCGCCGCTACGGACAACAGGCTTGGCTCCATTGGAACAGGGGAGTTTATGTGCTGTTCGGCTTGGCTTCAAGAGCTGATGACCTCCATGGGACAGTTAATGCTTTTGCATTAAAAAGCAGAACAAAAACGATGACTTCTAATTTATGCAGTGCATTCTAACCTCCGTAGCCTGGGTGCTCTGGCACAGATCCGGGGTGCTCTGCCAGAGATCCCCATTGCATGAGTGATGAGACGTTCACCATAGCAAACGTTCACCCTTCGCTGAATTAGACATTCGATCAAACGGTCCGCAATGAAATGTAGAATGGGGTACACTTATACGTCTGAAACCGTTCACCTACTTTCAGGGTAGGCGCAAGTGTGCTGTGGTCCGGCGGCGTCGGACCCCGAAATCGAGTAGAACAAAAGAACCGCATTAACCAAATGCAAGTCGGGTAAAGAGCTGCCCTAGATGTCACACTTTCGAATTCAGGTTTGCGTACAATATGGGTAGAGCTCATTGAGAGGGCGGTCCCTTATACTGAAAGCTCCTATCCGAAAGTACCATTCACATAGTGGCGTTTTACTAGGTTTGTCATTGTGTATTGCGTCGAGCTACGAAGGCCATTTATCAGCTTAACAAAGCGAACAAACGATGAGACACCTGGCTGCCACAGTAACTTCCAGTCGTATCGTGACTCAGGTCTATGCAACGTTCTAATACACAAAGTAAAACGCCGTATGCGAATCGACCTATGAAAACAATTATCCTCTAGGCAATACTAAAACACTCATTTCAATCACAATACCAGAAATATTCCACTATAATTTTGTTCTAGTGTATTTAGGAGATTTTTGTTTTCAGCGATGTCTGCGAATAACGACAGCAAGAGAGGACGCTGAGGCGCTATCACGTCACGCTATATAATACTTAACTTGAATTTTTAAGCCTTATGGCCAAACTCCACGAGGCCAATAACTTACAGTCAAATCTGAATTCAAGGTAGACATCGCAATCAAGTTGCTGAGTAGCCGGCATCGGAAATGTGCCTTAGATTACATTCTAAGGAAGTAAGGTTGCAGACCAGTCAAAAAACAATGTGTACAGGTTGCGGGTCAAAATACACTCACTGCACATTACGACGAAAATGAGCGCCAGCTGGACGATCGTCTTGAAAGTGCTCACAAAGTTAGTTGCCATTCTTTCGGCTCCTGGTGCGTCTGTCAAAGAAACAGGACAGACGATGGCTCTACGGTGATGCGCTTTGCCTTTCATACAGTTTACGAACTATGCAGTCTCCAGTCCGCGTGACGATATGATGGAAAGAAACTATTGAACTTCTTATTAGGAAAACTAGTGTAAGAATGTTGTCCGGACTGCGGTCATGCCAACTATGACTGTCAACTTCAAGGAGTCATTGACCGTTTACCTCCTGTTACTCTTACGCCCTCAATAATACCATACCTTTGACCTAAGCAGTTTCTCGCTACCACCGCTAGGGGATACTTTTAGTCTTCTGGGTGGCCAAGGGAGCATGTCAAGCCCACTTTCTGCGTCTGGTGCCCGCCCTGGCTCTGCCCGCGCCTCCCATTGACCAAACTCTCTGTATACACGGCTCTGCCCGGAGCTTGCTTTCCGCTCACCATCAGAATTGCCGAGGCCACAGGAAACACTCCTGCATTGTTAAATAGCTTTGGTTGATATACATACCCAAACTTTCTTCATCTCATTGGCAGCAGGAACTAATGGGACGGCATAAGTTGCTCAGTGGAGGGCTCAAAGAACACACCCTGAACGACTGCCCCGACTATACCATGACGAACGGCAGGGTCTACAAGACACAAAGAGCAAAATAAATGCTCGTCCCTTCTGTTTCCTTTGTGTTTAGCGCCTGGAATACATTTAACCGATCTACAAAGACATCCCAGTATCTGACACAGCTTCTTGCTAGAACTAGACTGTCAACTATCATAAGGTGTCTTTATTTGTTTGTGTGCGTGTGTGTGTATGCGGTGTGTGGGTGAGTTCTGGCATCATCCTCGTTGTGATTTTTATCTTCACAATCGTTTCATTCTGCTCTCTAATTTATATACTGTATAGACGCTTTACACACGCGCCAGAATACAGCCGCCATTGCTGGCCTTCTCTTGTTTTACCGAGATACCGAGCCACTGAAATTGGTGTGGACGAGCCTCCATAAAGGCCAATGCTGGGGAGAAAGACAGAGTAAAATCTAGGATGGCAATGACCTAGCCTGCTATGGTAATAATGAAGTGAAGTAAACGTAATAAGGGGAAACAAAAATTGAAGGTCAGTTATGGCGGCGCCCATGCACAGCTGCTGCAAAGCGTCTATATATACAGTTTTCCTATTTCCCTAACCGAAGTCGAGGGTAGCAACTCATAAGAAACCGCTCTGGCAAAGCCCACTGTCCCCCTATCATCAACACCAACCAATAAAGCGCTGCAAGGTTGCCAATACGATAATCTCCACACCTTAAAAGCGAACACTTTTAGTACAATACACACACCTTGCAGCACGTTTTAAACACGATAAGAATGAATAGCGTTTCTACTAGAAGGCGAATTGTTTGTGTTGATCCTCGTAAAAATCCACCTTCTTTCAATATTCGTTCGCCATCTCACAAAACCGGAGAAGTCAACTAACAAGCTCTTCGCAGCGCGGGAATTGGTCACGCTCACGTTACAAGGGTGCTTGTCGAAAACCAGACTCATACGTAACGTGTTACATGTAACGCGTTGCTTGTATCGAGTTACTTTTTTGTTAGAACGAAGTAACGATTTTAATACTTTTAAACAGAAAAACGAGTACCGTATTTGCTTACTTTTTAATGGAGTAACGACTGAAGGTATCTAGTTCCTTCTGGAGAAGAATACGGGCAACACAAGTTGTCAACCCAGTTCTATCACCCCAGGTCGCACCTGTGATTTTCAGGGAGAAAAAACATGTTATAAACAATAAAAGCCGCTCACAAGGTACTTTACTAATGCCACAGTTCCATAATTCACCGTGGTGACGTGCGCGTCACCGAGGTTCATTATGGGATGTTTCTCATAATGCACCGCGCGGTTACGCCGACGGCGACAGCGACGCCGGCGCCGCTCAAGCCGGAAACAAACACCTAAAAGCTGAACTCTAAAAAAAAAAAAAAAAAAAAAAAGAATACGCAATCTTGAACATTGCGATTGATCACTCCTGGCTGTTGCATGACTGCTCGGCAAGAACATTTTCTGGTGTGGATCAACGCCCGCCAAACGCTCGTTTTCGCGGAATCGTTGCCGCCTGGTAGGGCAAGGATATGATACAAGTTAAGGAAAAACAGGAAACCTACAAAATTAAATTTAATCTGTTTTTGAGTCCCCTCGTTTTTTCTTTTTTTTTACTCTCTGGCACATCCGGTTAGGTGAAAATAAGTCTATTTTTGATACCGGTACTTGCGCAAACTATGGAAATAGCTGCGACGCAAAACATGCGAGGAAATAGTCTGTAGGGTTAGTGAAAAAAATATCTGAATGTATAGGCTTCTGCGCCGTAGCTTTGGTCTCCCTGCAGTCAGGATTTGAAAGGAACAACTTCGTCGTGGATACTTCATGCATCGGTTCATGATACTGTTGCTATGCAAGGCATCCGTTGTTGATTAAAGTTATTTTCTAGACTTGTATGTGACGCGATTTATGTAACGCGCTGTTCGTATTTAGTTATTTTTTCCTTTAACGAATAAACAAAGTAGGTACTTATGAAGCATAGAATTCTTTCTAACGCTACCCCCGTTCCCAAAATTGTGTTCATCGGTCCGTCCGCCCACCCATGCGTCTGTCCGTGCATTTTACGCTAAATTTAGCGGGGAAATTGGCGTCACGTGACGACTTCTGACGTACTGTGAGCTATACACCTTGGGGAAACTGAAAGTATGTGACCTCTACGTCAACGCAGTTTCCCCGGTAAATTTAGAGGGAAAATTCGCGTCTTGAGGCCAAAACATCAATTCAGTTTCCCCGCTAAATTTAGTGAAAAATCGACGTCACGTTATCTATACACCAATTCAGTTTCCCGCTAATTTTAGCGGGGGCAAATTCACGTTTTGCAATCTGGACACCAATCCAGTTTCCCCGCTAAATCCAGAGGGAGAAATTGACGTCACGTGACCTGACATCACGTGACGTTTATACCTGCTCACTTTCTCAGCTATGTTTAGCGCGGAAATATGCATCACGTGGCCGGCCAATTCCCCAACCAACTCCCTATAATGCACTTCATGCATTCATGTGACTTTGAGTGTGAAGGTCGCTGGCAATACTTTAAAGTGAAGCTGAAGTTCCTAAAATCTGATCGGAGTTTTTTTTTTTTTTGTATCTCATAAATCGGAATATCATGTTCGTCTTTCCCCAAGATGTAACTGAACGCGAAAGAACACGAAAAAAAAAATTCCGATCAGTCGTTACGTCTAACTGGGATCTTTCAGCCGCCAAGCGCGTGTCGCTCGTGTGAGCAGCGCGTACGTACAATTGCAGGTTTGACAGGTTTACCCTATTTGTATGTTTAGAAGTCCTCAGCCCAGCTTGCGATAACCTCAGCACAGCACGCAAATGTTCGCCGCTTCGAAAAGCGAGCCAATCTCCCGCCATAAGCACGGACACTGAAAATGGAACCGGCTAGGAGCCCCTTTTTCTGAAAGGTCTATACTCCCCCGCAGTGACACCAGTAGTTACGTATTTTGTTTTTACCTTTTTTTAAAAACAGCAAGAGTACGGACATTCTGAAAACTCCTAATATGACGTCACGCTCAACGGAATTTTGAAACTAATTTTCTGCAGCATCAGTGCACCGAATAGAAACATAATCTTGATATTCAAGATCCTGGAAGCCGAATGAAAACAATTCAAGTGTATTTCCTGAAATACAATACCGCTTCAGTTTCCTATTAAGAGAAGTACGAGTAGCGTAGTTTTGTTACATTTTGATAAACTAAGAAGTAGCGGTAGTCATTTAGTTCTGCTTGGGAACGTGTACAAAACGAGTACACAAATTTTAGCTCCCATTCCAGCTCGCTCTCGCAATTCGCATTACCTGAAAACGCTATACTCCGTTTGAGACTTGAAGTTCCACTTTCAACGCGAGCTTCCTGCCCTTGCTAACTCAAGTGCGAACGCGCAGGCACGCGCAACCAAAGGACTGCGGACGCCATCGATCTCGCACTGAAGGCAGAGATTCTTGTCTCAGCTTAAGGATGAATGGAGAATAGATAGACCACAAAAATGTGCACAAGGTACGTCAGTATATAGAGAGTATTCAGTGGCTGCCATAGCTGTGTGCGCGACTGTCCAGCACGTGAGGACGGCGAGCCTCCACAGCTCTTTTGCAACGTGCATTCTACACCATGAATATTCCCGATTTCTGCAGCCTAGTAATGTGAGGTCGTTCTGAGCATATGCTGTGAAAAGCGCCCTAAAATATTCCGTCCGGTGAATACCACCCTATACCCAGTCATTCACACATGTACGCGTTAAATGACAAAAAAAATACTAACGAAAAAATGTGGGAAGCGGCTACTGCTTTAAATAATCGACACGCTCACGGTCACGAGGAAATGACGGGTTACTTTCAACCTGACGTAAGGTGTTACTTTTGAATCGCAGTGACCAGCAACGTACCAAATTACTTTTACTTTTCGTGCGTAACGAGTGACGGTAATTACCTACTTACTTTCAGCAAGGTGCGCATGTCTGGCGCACACAAAGAGCGTTGCCGTGGCCAAGCATTGCACTTAGATTTTCTGGGGGCACTTTGGACGGGAAGCTATAACTTTTCAGTGATTTCTAGGCCCACGTAAGCCGGCAAAAATATATAGTATAAACTTACGGTTGATACCCGAGGATTTATTCCAGTTGTGAGCTGAATTCTGGTTATGACATGAAAGATTCTTGTGGGAGTCTTCATTATTAATTTTTTTTTTAAATATAATTGTCTTGCGATTGATATTAAAATAAGCAGGAATAACGTGTAGCGCTTTAGAAGGCCAGGGAAAGTGTGGAATGATTTTGTTAGTTTCGGCTTCAACCAGACACGTAGCTTGTTTCGCGGGGGGGGGGGGGGGGGGGGGGGCCTGCCCATGACAAAATGCTGTATGAGGTGGAGGGGGGAGAGGAGGTCCCAGCAAAATGGAAGATTTCGGGGGGGGGGGG